CTGACTACGTGCAAATCGGATAAGTCCTGGATGCGCGTCTAGGACGCATTCGTGTAATTAACGCAATCGATACGTCCAAAACGCATCGTGTAATAGGCCTTAACTCGGAGCAGGCGGGTTGGACGTTTTTTTGCCAAGTGGCCAATCAGACAACAGCAATCAGGGGTGTGTCCCTCCACCCTAGGGGGAGAACACGTTTTTGCTGTAGGCGCCACGCTGGCAGCATCAGGCCTCGACGCTTACTTTCAAATCTGGTTGTCCTGTCGGGCAACAAGAAGCAATTTTTACTTGTCCGAATTTTGATTTTAGCTCGTCCAAAATTTACTTGTGCACTCTACTAGCGAGTCCTGCTTTTGGTTCAGGTTGCAAATACATATTATGCAGGAGTGTATAATATAGAGACCTATTAATTATATAAATAGATACTATATACATATAACCAACCACTAGGGTATATGAGATAGATGTAAGATATATATATATTGTAAACACTGCCGGTGATATTTTTGCGCAAGGCTTTTTTTTTTTTTTAAAAATTCGCGCTGCGTGCAATATAGTGCTCGCACATACCTAGGGCATGGTGCCTGGCCGCGTTTGGCTATGACGTGTGTGCGTATTACACTTAGCAGCTATATATACGTAATTACTTGTGTATACCGCGCTTTTATGTAGCAGCCAACTTCAATAAAGAAAGAATCAGGGGGTGCGACTTTATAGACGAGGCGCAGAAATCTATGTTATGTAACCATGTTTGTACAACCTTTTTCAATGGGCAAATATGGGGTGAGCTTATAATAATACGATGAATTAATACCTTATACACGTGTAATCCAGTACATGTTAAAATCGTCATGAAATTTTACGGAACGTTTATGTTTGCGTGCTGGCACGCTCGATTGTGCTGTCATTATTTACGCGGATTGCAGCTTTTTCCTCATTATCACGAGGGAAGAAGAGAGGATGAGTTTGTGCCTGTCGTCCTCTCATCCAGCGAATGCCCACACGAATATTGCACCCTCCAACCGCTTATAACAATCGTAACCCCCACCCCAGTACATAATCAATGCCGCCCGGCCAGGGAGGTATGCGTATTCGCTCTGAATAAATGTGTAATGGTAAGCAGGTGGTGTTGCGGCTGCTTTTTTTCATGGACCTTTGAAAAACGTTTGAAAGTGAGAATGTAGGGACGGCGATAGGCGCCCTGGCGTTCAGGAGGATGTTTAGGAAATATAAACAACTAGAAGCTTTGTGAGTTGTCGATCGGGCAACTAAGGGCAAAGAAAGAATAGGGCTTGTTCGACATATGACTTTCACTTGTCCCGGGGCAATTTCGGGACAAACCGTTTAGTGTCGAGGCTGAGCATGTAAGTAGCATGGCAAAAATGCGTATCGGTCGGCCCCGCGGCGCGCCTACGGGGTCAAAAAAGAAAACGCGAAACTTTGACATGGCCATATAATGCGGCAGTGGAAATCCAGACCGGTGGTATATCAGGATTATGAGATAAAACTTTATCTCAATAACTACTGAGGCCGCTGCGCTGTAACGTACGTAGGGCCTACTTCTTTGTACTTTCATTTAAGACGCAACGGTGAATCTGTTTACACGGTAAGTTTTGGACGTACATCCAGGACTGAGAACAATATATACATTGTACAATGTGTGTATGTGTGCGCGTACGCCACCACACACTCAGGCAGATGCGCACGCACATCGCATGTGTGTGTGTGCATGTGTGTGCGTGCGTGCGTGCGTGCGTACGCCACGTAACGAGAGAGCGCGTGCTGCTGCCGACATTTTACAGCGGTTGTGTCCATGCACACACACACACCCACGCACACACACACGCACACACACACGCGCGCACACGCACGCACGCACGCACACACGCACACACGCACGCACACGGACACACACACACGCACACACACACACGCGCGCACACACACACACACACACACACACGCACACACACACAC